TTTGTAGACCAGGCTGGCCTGCCTCCCGAGTGCTGGGATTAAAGGCGTGAAGCCACCACCGGCCGGCCCTTCCCTGACTTCTAACTGTTCAGCTGTCAGCTTTCCAGGGAGCTTCTCCTGGACCTGACTTTCCTCCCAGGCTGTGATGAAGCCCAATGTGCACTTAGCCTTCCATGGACATTCTCCATACTTCATGATGTCACACACCCAATTCTTTAATGAACCCTGAGGGTCATAGGGCTTTGTGACTGAATCACCAAGCACACCACAATGCATGCCACAAACTCCATAAGCACTGTATAAACAACAAGACCACACCCACGCAATGACAGAAGTGGCTTCATAATTACATAAATGACAGGACGCTTAGCTGAACCTTCTAAACTAGCTGTCTTTCTGACCTGGACAGTCCCCTGAGAAACTACCCACAGCCACCGTTCACTTCGTGTTTTTCAGGATACTGGCAGTAAGGCGAATTTTGGGCTCCAGAGCGAAACCCGGGCATGATGGGCATATTCCAGTCTTCAGGCACCAGAAGACTCTGGCGGTGGCCAGAGGACCAAAGTCAGACATGAGAAGCAGCATTAGGGGACCTCACTGGAACTGCTAGATGACAAAGGTCCTTTCTGTTGGGATGGAGTGACAGAAGTCTAGCATAGGCCAGAGGGCTCCCATGAAAAACAAAGCATGCCAGCCATGTCCTCACTCTATCTTCTGAGACCGGTCACGCCTGATGGCCCTGGAACTTTCAGTGGAATGAGTCAATGCTAGTTTTTTGCCTTGGACTTAAGGAAATTTGATTTGTGTGTCAAATACACCAGAAGGTGCTCTGATAACATTGTATTTTGCCTGGCTCACAGCCACTATTCAACAGATGTCAGCTCCCTTTCTCTCCCCAGGTCCCACCTACCACACAGATCTGTGTAAACCGCAGGAGACAGTGCCACCCAAGGGTCTGGCACAAAGCCTGGCACTCACAGTGGACCTGTTGAACATCACACTCTCCGACTGCGCAGCAGGAAACAGAGAGACTACAGAGACCCTGGGTGTCGTTCTCACACTTTTCCACGAACCCGCCTCACCAGCTCCAGGTGAACTTACTAAATCCAGTCCTATGGTTGGGCTGCCACTGTGGGCGCTGGGCTTGCCACCTGAGGACATGATCACGGAGGGCTGGGTGAGCCTCGCTGCTCTGCTTCTGAGTCCCTTTGTCATTTCAGTCATCCTCTGTCTCCACGCCTGAAAAGGCAGAGACGCACTGCTGCTGTAGCTTCAAAGCCACGCCACCACGGGGACACAAGTCTCTGCGCGCTTGCCAGTTCTCTGTGTGAGCTGCCTGGTGCTGCTTCCTTTCATGTTAACCACAGGAAAAGAGTTGGAGAGAAAAAAGGCCTTGTCCCCTCTAGGCTGTTCTCAGGCTTGCCAACGTACCCATCTTAGCACAAATTCAATTCCATTTTTCTTGCTGTCAGGTTTTTTTTCTTTTACATGTTTTGTGCACTTTACACCAAGCTTAAAGGGGAAAGTAACAATATTTTAGCATAAACTATTAATCTGTTTTCCATTTGGACTAGCCAAGTTTTGCAGAAACATAAACAGTCATCATTTCTATATTAAGGGAAAGGATGCCCTGAACAGTAGGTGGTTTAGAGCTGTCCATCCTATGTACCAAGCCCGTTTTGAGTCAAAGTGCACAGGGGATGTGGTTTTCAGCTGCCTGTTGTCCTTGTGTGTCCTGCTACTGTCCCCAGCCCCTCTCAGTCTCTGTGATCTGTGAGAAGAAACAATATGGGATATGGTCTAGTTGGGTTTTTTCCTTTCCTAGAACTGCCTGGTACAAGTGCCATGCCCCGCCCTTTCTATGTAGCCCAGGCTGTAAAATTGCTACACAATACAGATTGTCCCTGAAGTTGCAATCCTCCTGCCTCTGCCTTCAAAATCAAAATGCTGGGATGATATGTGTGTACCATCATACATGGCTCCACTAGATGTTGCTGCTGCTGCTTTTTTCCCCTGGTTTTTCAAGACAGTGTTTCTCTGTATAGCCCTGGCTGTCCTGGAACTCACTGTATAGGCTGGCCTGCAACTCAGAAATTCACCTGCCTCTGCCTCCTGAGTGATGGGATTAAAGGCATGCGCCACTTCTGCCCAGCTCAGATACTTCTTTATGGCAGGATTAGAAGACATGGTCAGCAGAAGAACTGCTCCAGTGGTTCTCAACCTGTGGGTCGTGACCCCTTTGGAGACCACATATCAGATATCCTGCATATCAAATATTTTCATTACGATTCATGACAGTAGCAAAATTACAGTTATGAAGTAGCAATGAAATAATTTCGTGGTTGGGGTCAGCACAACATGAGGTACTATATCAAGGGTCACCATGTTAAGAAGGCTGAGAACACACTGTGCTGTGCCCCCGTGTGGGGAGTTATTGTCACATACGTGGGGGTCCTGAGATGAGCACAGTATCTTGTCCTACTCAGTTGAGAACAGACGTGAGGACACACAGCTAACATGTACACCCTCATTTTCTGCTGAGCCTTCCCTCCAAGTACCCCTGTAGTGATGGATGCTCACCACTCAAGTACCCCTGTAGTGATGGATGCTCACCACTTACACTATCGCCTCCTCTGAGCTACTGACACACCTTACCCGGCCTCCAACTGCTCTTCCTCACATTCTCTGCTTAACACAGCAGCAAGTAATTCTAAAGTTAGACTACAACACTCACATTAGTGTCAAAGGCAAGGTGGTGGTGCACACCTTTAAATCCAGCACTCAGGAGGCAGAGGCAGGTGGATCTCTGAGTTTGAGGACAGCCTGGCCTACAGAGTGAGTTCCATGACAGCCAGGACTACACAGAGAAACTCTGTCTTGAAAAACCAGGAAAAAAAAGGTCCAAAGGCTAAAAGGCTGTCTACACCCAATCCTTCCTGCTCTGGCCTGCCTCTTCCTGACATTCTCCAGTACTCTAGCACTCCAATCATTCTCACTTCCTGGTTATTTCTGCAACATGTGAGGCATGCTCCTGCCTCAGGGTCTTTTACACTTGCTGCCTCCTATGCTAGAAAGGGCACTGGGTGGGGCTAAGATGGAGCCCATCTTTTAGGTCTTTGCTCATACATGATTGCCCCAACCAGGATTTTCATGGCCACTCTGAACACTCAGAATGCTCAACTCTAGGTCCCAGCACGTCCTGCCTCTTTCCAGATGTAGCTTTCTCCAGCTCACACATGGAACTCTCTTAGGAATGTCTTAGAGGTTGCTTTCTTGCCTGTCTCCACTACAGCAGAAGGTCACAAGTGCTGAGCCACAAATGCTGAACCACTGATTCTCACTGTTGCTTTAAGGCCACAAGGTCTGAGCCACTGACTCTTACTGTTGCTTTAAGGCCACAAGGGCTGAACCACTGACTCTCACTGTTGCTTTAAGGCCACAAGGTCTGAACCACTGACTCTCACTGTTGCTTTAAGGCCACAAGGGCTGAACCACTGACTCTCACTGTTGTTTTAAGGCCACAAGGGCTGAGCCACTGATTCACTACTGCTTTGCTTGTCTCAACAAGATGCTCTGACGAAAATGTAAGAGAACTGATGGATGAAGATGAGGAAGAACTGAGATATACCTGTGGCCACTGGCTTTTTCTCCCTTTCCTGTTGCCATGAGCAAATCCCTGAGCAGACTCAGCTTTGGGGAGGAAGGATTACGCAGGGTTTTGAGTGTACTCTTTCCTGCAGGGGAGATGTGGTAGCAGAGGCATAAAGCTACTTAATGTCTACCCGTCATCAGAGAAGAGGATTCTAGCACTCCGACAGCTTCCTACTTCCCCTCTCTGTGTTCAGCCCTGATGCCATCCCGTGGGGCAGTGCTGCCCACTTTCAGGGTGGATCGTTCCTAGGGATTTAATAGAATCAAGTTGACAACCAAAATTAACCACCACGCTGGTCATCCTAGTTTGCTTTCGATGGCTGTGATGAATACCTTGACCAGAAGCAACTGGGTGGGGGAGGGGTTCGCTTGGTTGACACATCTCTACTGCAGGTGCCATTGAGGGAAATCAGGGCAGGACCTAAAGCAGAGCAAAGGGGGGAACCAGGGGCAGCTGCACACGGGCTCACTCCCCTGGCTTTCTCAGCCACTCCTCTTACACATCCAGGTCCACCTGGCCAGAGATGGCACTGCCCATAGTGGGCCAGGCCCACCTACATCAACCAGCAATCAGAAACACCCACAGGCCCGTCTCCTGGAGGCAACCCCTCACCTGAGGGGCCTTCTTCCCAGGTGACTCCAGTCTGTGTCAAGCTGACAAAAGCTAAGGGGCACCCTGCTAGCTCCTTTTAGATGAAGAAGACTGGGGTGCTCCAGCGACGAAGGCTGCCTGGGCCGCCATCTAGTTAGCTGACTTCTTCAACTGAAGTAGCTGAGACTCTAGCTGAAAACTCTGGAACTTCTACACACAGGCTCTAGGCTGGCTCCTGGGGGACACAGTGAGAACTCTCCAGAGGACAACGATAAGGCTGGCCACAAGCCAACACACTTACCTCTCCAGTACAAAATGCCACATGATAGAGTAACTGTTTAGTGACCACCCAATTTAATCTTCACCAAAAGGCTATGAAATATTTTAAAGACAAAAGCTACTTAATGTACTGTAAGAATATTGCAAGGTAAAGGCATGGTTTGAAAGAGACTGGAAGCTCCGAGGCACCTGCCCACTCCTTTTGTAGGTTTGGACAACTAAGATTCAAAACAGAAAAGGAATTTGCATCCAGCAAGCAGCCGAGCTGGGATGTGAGTACGGACCTCCCAGACTCTCCGGCAAAGTTTACCACAAGTGCCTCAGAGGCAGTTCTGGCCTGTGCCTTCTTCCTGAGACAACATGTCTCCAGATCAGAGACACAAGGCTAGCAAACGCTCACTACTGCAGTGTTGAACACAGAGGCCACATGTTCCACTCCCCAGGGGTCAGTACCGGGCTAGCCGCCCTGCTCACTCACCTCCAGTACACGAGCACAGCAATGAGAAGGACGAGGCACAGGAAGGTCAAGGCTGAGACCACAATCAGGGGGATGATCCACTCCATCCTCCCCGGCGAGGGCCGGCTTATCATTCCAGAGGTATTCTTCTCGGCTGCAAGAGAAATCAACCAGTCAATGGGCAGATGATACTGAGCTCCACTCAGGGAGAACTGAGCCCTACCCACACTGAACCAGCACAGGGCAAGAGGGGCAAACGGCTGTCCTAACCCAAGTCTTCTGCAGGTGGCACTCTTTAGTGACCAGAAGAATGGATTCGCTTGTGAGATTAAAGTCATTTCTAGGGAGAGCTCTGCAGAAGACAGACTTCAGCTTTACTCCGAGGATGTTCTCAACCCAGAGAGAACCTTGGATGCACTCAGAAATCGCACTCAGGGCCCAGAAAGGAAGACAAGTGAGAACAGGGAATCAGCTTCCCCCTGCTCACAGCACGCTCCTGCCTCTAGAGTGCAGTCACAGTCCTGGGGTTAAGCGGCAAATCTACTAACTGGTGGAGTTCTCCCTGGCCATCCAATATTCTTACCAGCAGATCTTTCTTCCAGCATCTATTATCTCCAGAAGCCTTAGCAGGACAGCTGAGTCTGTCTTGAACTATGGGGCAGATGCCTGGGAACGGCGAGGGTTGTTGAGTGAGACAGAGACGCAGCCCTGAGAGTCCGCGTGCACAGAGGCAGGCAGTGACAAGGTTAACACTAATCTCTGAGGCAAGACCCCAACCCTCCAGGGCCGCTGAACAGCCATCTATGGACAGCAAGGATCCCACCTGCTCGGCAGAAAAGAGGTTAGCACACTGCCAGCCCAGAAGTGTCCCTTGGCAGCATGGACTACATGCAGCATTAATCAGGCTGTGTTTTCAAGGGACGGAAGATGGGCCCAGGAAGCAAGAGAAGAGATGGCAGGCCTCGGGAGCAGATATTCGAAGAGGAAAGACTCCTGGCCTCGAGGATGCTCCTGTGTGATGCAGTGCACTTTGCTGGGTTTCCTGTGTGTCTACTTTTAGACACAGGCTCCCGAAGCAGGGGCTGCCCAGGGGCTTCCTGACTCACTGAAGAAACACCAGATAGGCAGCAAACCCCACCGATTAAAACCCTAGCAGCCTCTCAGTGTTCGAGACTGCCTTCTGGACCCACTATTCCACTGCAGACACCCTTCCAGAGGACAGGGATGCAGCAGTGGCTCATCCGGGCCTTTGCTGGGATTGGTTACGAGGTAGACTTTGGAAGAAGTAATCACAGGGCAACTAACGTGGTGCCAGGGGAAGCGCAAGGGCTCAGTGGAAAACAACAACAGCACTGAAGGCCCGTGCTCACACTGCGAGATCTGAAGGGTGAAGATAAGTTAGCTAGGTGAGCGTGTTCTGAGCAGAGGCCATGTGATTGTGGGAGTGTAAGGATGGGGGGACCAGGATGGAAAACTAGAAGTCAATCAACCGAGGCCTCAGAGGCTCAGTGAAGGGCACGGACTTTAGTCCTAACAGTGCAAGTTACTGTCGTGTTTGAAGTGAAAGTGAACAAGCTTCTCACCTTCACACTCTTCTCCACACACTGCCTTAAGTGCAAAGAGTGACAACCGTCCAGAGGAGCCAGGGGGTGCAAATGAGAATAACTTTGCAGGGCTCCGACAGGGGTCAGTTCAGCCAGGCATTACCTGGCTGCTGGTGGGAACATCTCAAGACCCAGAGGTCCCGCTATGGAAGGAGTGTCAGGAGGGCGGAGAGCAGAGGCCATGTGACCCGTTAGCTCTGCTTTTACCCTGGGAAGCCCCCAGGTACTGGGGATGCCCAGTGTCTTTCTGCTTCTCTCCCACCTGACAGAAAAGGATTCTTGCCTGTGGTCTACTTTCAATTCTAAACAGCCAGCTTTGGTAGAGCTGGCTGAGTCACTTCTTCCTAGCACTGTGTGGTGCTATGTGACACTGTCCCCAAGGCAATGCTGCATGGGAGACCTCAGTTGGCAGTCACTTGCACCCTGACAGTGCGGATTTCAATCGTCGCCTGTGGCTGGTCTTCCTTTAAACACCTGATACAGGGCTGGTACCAGATTTCCAAATGGGATACGAGACAGTTAGCCTCGCTGCCAACTTCACAGCACTGTCTTGTCTTGTGCATCAGGGGCCTGGAAGTGGTTTCCACTTCCTGTTAAAATCCCACAAGCTGTCACTCTACTGAACCCTGGGTTTCTGCCCAGAGAGAACAGGGGGAGTGCCCAACCAGCCAGCCCTGCTGCACTACAGAACGTCTACCTGACAGACCACATTTCAAGTGGGAAGCCCCACCTTTTATCTGGATATTCCAAGGTGAAAAAATCCACCTTAAATCTGGGCTACACCTTCTGGTGGCGGCCTATATAAAGGCCATGAAAGAAGGAAGTGATTGCTCTTTGCCTGCCCTCACTCTTGCTGGCAAGTTCATCCCTTAACTGGCATTAGAGGGTACTTCAGGAATCCAGTGTCTACTGCAGACCAGCTGAGACATGCAGTCTTGTGGACCTTTCATCAGGGGACAGCCATCGTTGGGTTAAATCAGATCATAACCTGCAAACCACTCTAACAGATTCAGTTTTCATATACATAGATTCGCTCTGTCAGTTGTCTCTTCAGAGAACCGTGACCAATACTGCGTCCCTCAATGGGAAGATGTGTGTACAACACCTGGAAGTGTCCCCACAAATGGAGAGCACCATCCCCCACCTCCATCTGTGTGTAAACCTAGGTAAGTGAGCTACTGTTATAATTACCACTGTTAATTTCTTTATGCCTCAGTTTCCTCCTCCGTAAAAGGAGGTGACAAATCTGTTCCCTGTATTGTGGAGTAAGTACAGATACAACGTTTAGAATGTTGCCTGGTAGGTGTCCTGGCTACCATTAGCTGTTGGGCCTGTCCCCATCACTATATGCTATCATCGCTGGTACCATCACTCCTGCCCTCTGAACTGTGAGCATCACCACATCAGCTCCATCACTGCTGCCATCTGAACTGTGAGCATCACCACATCAGCTCCATCACTCCTGCCCTCTGAACTGTGAGCATCACCACATCAGCTCCATCACTGCTGTCATCTGAACTGTGAGCATCACCACATCAGCTCCATCACTCCTGCCCTCTGAACTGTGAGCATCACCACATCAGCTCCATCACTCCTGCCCTCTGAACTATGAGCATCACCACATCAGCTCCATCACTGCTGCCATCTGAACTGTGAGCATCACCACATCAGCTCCATCACTGCTGCCCTCTGAACTGTGAGCATCACCACATCAGCTCCATCACTCCTGCCATCTGAACTATGAGTATCACATCAGCTCCATCACTCCTGCCATCTGAACTATGAGCATCACCACATCAGCTCTATCACTCCTGAACTATGAGCATCACCACATCAGCTCCATCACTCCTGCCCTCTGAACTATGAACATCACCACATCAGCTCTATCACTCCTGAACTATGGGCATCACCACATCAGTTCTATCACTCCTGAACTATGGGCATCACCACATCAGCTCCATCACTCCTGAACTATGAGCATCACCACATCAGCTCCATCACTCCTGAACTATGAGCATCACCACATCAGCTCCATCACTCCTGCCCTCTGAACTATGAGCATCACCACATCAGCTCCATCACTTCTGCCATCTGAACTATGAGCATCACCACATCAGCTCCATCACTGCTGCCATCTGAACTATGAGCATCATTACATCAGCTCCATCACTCCTGTCCTCTGAACTGTGAGCATCAGCACATCAGCTCCATCACTGCTGCCATCTGAACTATGAGCATCATTACATCAGCTCCATCACTCCTGCCCTCTGAACTGTGAGCATCACCACATCAGCTCCATCACTCCTGCCCTCTGAACTGTGAGCATCACCACATCAGCTCCATCACTCCTGCCCTCTGAACTATGAGCATCACCACATCAGCTCCATCACTCCTGCCCTCTGAACTGTGAGCATCACCACATCAGCTCTATCACTCCTGCCCTCTGAACTATGAGCATCACCACATCAGCTCCATCACTCCTGCCCTCTGAACTATGAGCATCACCACATCAGCTCCATCACTCCTGCCCTCTGAACTGTGAGCATCACCACATCAGCTCTATCACTCCTGAACTATGAGCATCACCACATCAGCTCCATCACTCCTGCCCTCTGAACTGTGAGCATCACCACATCAGCTCCATCACTCCTGCCCTCTGAACTGTGAGCATCACCACATCAGCTCCATCACTCCTGCCCTCTGAACTGTGAGCATCACCACATCAGCTCCATCACTCCTGCCCTCTGAACTATGAGCATCACCACATCAGCTCCATCACTGCTGCCCTCTGAACTGTGAGCATCACCACATCAGCTCCATCACTCCTGCCATCTGAACTATGAGCATCACCACATCAGCTCCATCACTCCTGCCATCTGAACTATGAGCATCACCACATCAGCTCTATCACTCCTGAACTATGGGCATCACCACATCAGCTCTATCACTCCTGCCCTCTGAACTGTGAGCATCACCACATCAGCTCTATCACTCCTGAACTATGGGCATCACCACATCGGCTCTATCACTCCTGAACTATGGGCATCACCACATCAGCTCCATCACTCCTGAACTATGAGCATCACCACATCAGCTCCATCACTCCTGCCCTCTGAACTGTGAGCATCACCACATCAGCTCCATCACTCCTGCCCTCTAAACTGTGAGCATCACCACATCAGCTCCATCACTGCTGCCATCTGAACTGTGAGCATCACCACATCAGCTCTATCACTCCTGAACTATGGGCATCACCACATCAGCTCCATCACTCCTGCCCTCTGAACTGTGAGCATCACTACATCAGCTCCATCACTCCTGCCCTCTGAACTGTGAGCATCACCACATCAGCTCCATCACTCCTGCCCTCTGAACTGTGAGCATCACCACATCAGCTCCATCACTCCTGCCCTCTGAACTGTGAGCATCACTACATCAGCTCCATCACTCCTGCCCTCTGAACTGTGAGCATCACCACATCAGCTCCATCACTGCTGCCATCTGAACTATGAGCATCACCACATCAGCTCCATCACTGCTGCCCTCTGAA